GAGGGAGGGAGGTGGTATGCTTGCTAGTCGCACTGGCGATGTAACCTCTAAATGGTATACAACACAATAAAAACAAAATTAGGTGTGAGTGCATGACATCCCCGGGGGGAAATTACCAGGCAGTAAATCGCGATCCAAGTTGCGGATGGTGACGGAATGTTTGGGTAATATCAACAACTGGGCGCAATTGAAATCAAGGTATGTTATGGGAGTGATTGGCACAGAAGATCGAGGCGGGCGGCATGTTAAGATGTCTGGTCTGTGATAATGCAACCCCCCTGCTTATTCTTGCCATGTGTGGCACGCGTGAGGTTAGTTGGCGTGGGGAATCAAAGGGGAAATCCAAGGGGCAGGTCAGTGAGTGATCTGCAATCTGGCAGAGATCTGAGGCCCCAGCAGCAGAGACCTTGCAGCTTCATTCACTTATCGGGCGACTCATGCAGAGAACACGTTTGCCATTGAGACGTGCATCAAGACAATAGAGTCGTGTAAGTGAAGAAGTGCGTCTAAACTGTTGCTAAAGTAGGCACCTAGCTATCACTAACGGTAGGTAGTTTCGACTGCCACTAGGGAGGGGCCGCCAGAGATCCCATTGACACTTGACACTGGATCGGACGCTATCTTCTGCCGCTGTGTTTTTTTCCGAGAGAATTTTCGCCGAGTGCTAACTCTTCTCGTAGATCAGTGGTCACTGACTCGACATCCCTGCTCCTCCATTGACTGTACCTCAGCCAAGATGCGGCACAGTCACACCCACAGCAATGCAAGCTAAGTAGCCTCGATCTTAGGGTACAGGAACCGGTAAGTGTGGTGGGTGCTTTGAATCGAACAGTGTTCTTTTTCATGGCTTATCAGAGGCTGGCATCAACCTCGCCCCATGTCATAGCGCACTCCATGTGAGGCGCGTGATGTGAGCTTCAGCTGCCATCTCCATCTATTACGTGGAGAATTGACCAGGCGGGTTTAAGTGTTGATAGGCTATGCATCAGGCTTTGGTCGGGCTAAAATGGAACATCGATCAAGCTGAGGTGATCTGCACAGACAGAACAGGGGCAGCGTCTCGCGGGATTGTTCCGTGGCTAGCGTGGCGTAGCTACTTACGTTAGGCTTGCTTCCTTGATGGGTACTACCATCGCCTAGCAAGTATCCTTGGAGCCAATCAAGCATCCCTTACATATGCATGAGTCCCATTTCGACAAGCCTCCAAAAGGGTTCGGAGATACTCCGTAGCCTCCGGATGATTTGTATGGTGCCGCTGAAGACAGCGAGATAACGTAAATACAGGTCGACGCTTTTCGGTGCTGTGTCATACAATTTGAACTTGAATTTGGAGGAATAACAGTGATAATAATGTTTAATACAAGAATAAAAGAACATCCCAACTGACTCGTCATCTGGGATTATAATATACAATATACAGTCCGCTGTTCAGCGCTGTTCTTTCTCGCAATTTGCGACTCTTCTCAAACCTGTGAGATTGATTTCCCAACATGAAACAGCAATTGTTTTGAATCTTGGAAGATAGCCGCGTCGATGTCCGTTCCGTTTGCTCAACCCTAAACCCGCCAATCTTGTACTGCCATCCCTGTAATCCCCTTGGACCTGTATGTTACTCGTCGCTTCCTGGTCCGATCCTCTTCTGCAATGATAGCTACCGCGGCAGGGACAAACTTGATGCTGCGATACCGCTTGTTATGGCGCGCATGCAGCCTCCGGTGAGTCTGGAGATTGTCATAGCGATTGAATTGATCCTTTCCGCAAAACTCGCAGACAAAGTTATTCTCTCCTTCACTGTGATGCCTGTGTTTTGTCAGATATACGTCTCGTGGGGATCAAGTTTGGAATGGAACATACGTTTGCTTATGGCGCTTGAGGTGCTCAACGCGTCGAAAGGCTTTGTTGCATCCTGGGAAGTCACATGCGCCCGTTGCCTTTTTGATGACTCGGAAGACACAAGTCTCGTTTGCTTGCTTCGTTGACTTCGGAACCTTCCGCTGAAGAGACATTGCTGTCTCGTCTGCGAGGCTGTGCCTCTCTGGCGGAGACTCCGTCTCACAGATCGATCTGGAGTCCCGCAGCGGACAAGCACTGGGTGGGTAGGGGTCCTGGCCAGTGCAGTTTGAGACATCTGAGACCCGCCTCTCGGAAGCCTCTGAGAGCGGGCTGTCGCTGAAACATGACAATGAAGGCATCGATGCAATGCTCCCAGAACGGGATAGAGCTTGCGGGCACGGTACCGCAACGACATTGAAGTAACTGTCGCTTGTTCCTCCAGGTGTACTGGGCATTGGGAATGGACTGATCGGACCGACTGGGCTGACATCGACCTTGCCTGTATACGACAAGTGCTGATAGTCCATGTCGGCGTACTGTTGATGTATAAGATGCTGATACGGCAAGCCTCCGGTTTCAGAACAGGTGCTGTCTGACATGAATGAAGAGACCGGACATGCCGTATTTGTCCAGTAGTATGCGTTATTGTAGAGATCGTTGTAATCCAAGGGCACTGATTCCATCCAGTCTGATCTTGGTGACGAGGTAGGGGTGACAGGAGCATCAGGTGACGAGGCAAAGGCAAAGGCTGTGTCGATTGGTACAAAGCACTGGCCCCCCATGTTGATGGTATTGTTCATGCTGAGTGCAAAGTCAAGCAAGCGAACTGATTCGGTGAGGAAGACTTAAATATTAAAAATCCTTAATATAGACAGTCAAGCGGTTTGAACACTATAGCAAAGAACTTAGATATCATAGAGGATATGGGTTCTTAAGAATGAAGGATACAGCAGATCTTGCCTCTAACATTGCCTCATCATGCAGTGTGAATTCACAGCATCATGACAGAGAATATACATCACAAGCAACGGCTCAGCCTGAGACAAAAGAAGGCTGCCACTCAAAAGGCCCGAAGAGTATCGATAACGGCCTCAATCCATGCTATGGCGGGAATTCCCTTCTGGCCGCGATCGAGATCTTGGATCCTATCAACGCGCATCCATTGTCAATACAGCAGTTCTTTTTCAGCTGGGTTGTCCCTTTGGCATGTCGATCAGGCTAACTCAGGGTCTTGGCAGGGCCTGATCATTTGCCAACCATTCTTTCGGCCCAGGTTGGATGCATATGCCATTGCGGCAGGATCATGCAAGCCAGGACGCATTGACGGCAAAGTGCTGCATCTACGATACGCGAGATGGCTGTTCTGATAGCCTCTATTGCTTGAGCCTCAGCAACCGTAGATTGAAGAACCATTAGTGGCTAAAGATTCTATCCAGATCCATTTTCCGTCTGTAAATCTAACCAGCCGATATCCATCCTTATCTCAAGCCGGAAATTTGATTTTAATTCCGTCTCCTTTATCGCTTCCCTCTCCCAATAATCACAAACATGATCAGGTGTACTACTTCCCAGCCGTGCCAACAACGCATTGTCCAGAGGCAAACCTGCTGTCCCGTGTTTCATTTCTTGTCTACGATATGGAACTGATGCTCCGATGCATATCGGCGCAAGACGAGAAAGTCCCTGCAGATCCTTACTCTGGTCGGTTTCTACTGCATATCTCCACCCCACCACCGAGAACCCCTGTCTATGGCCTTCAGACGGAATCTGGGGTATGCTCGTGGACCTGGTTCGTGTCACTAGTGATTCAGTTTGCGGCAATCAACAGCGTCGATCTTGACTCACTCCTTCGGCACGCCCTTATGTCTTGGGGAACAAATCCCGTGGTCTTTGCATCCCTGCAGACTAAAGAGCAATCTACCAATGTTTCATAGGGCCCCTCCACTTAAACCCTGGCCGCGGAATTGGATCGTGGGCTGACGCGGAGTGAGACCTTTCTAGCGTGGCTGGGCGTGCACCTTTAAGGATTCTTGGTTGGCTGGGTATTGTGACCACAACGGGAGAGAGTGATGAGAAAACACGACCAAAGCAGAGAGAAGTATGTCATCTGACCCTGCTTACTGGTGACAGTAAATGTCCATACACACTTTCTATTTGCTGACCACTGGAAGAAAAAGCAACGGCACTGTTACATAGTGCTTACAGCCTGAATCGAACACACATTTACAGATACCAATCATCTGGCATACCCTGAATATCAAACCAGTGCCCCTCTGTAGATCCCATCCCACACCCCTTGCGTGTCCATCCCGCCGGGTTGAGCTCCCTTAAGCTTGTCTTTAGCCGTCCTTGAAACTGCTCCGTATGACGTTTGTATTTCGTCTGAACAGGTTGCACCAACGAAAATAATGAATTGGCGACCCCATCACCATCATTGAACGAGCCTGAACGAACCTATCAATATATTACCTGATGCTTAACAAATCAAAGGGGCGATACCGTACTCATATCACTAGATTCAGAACGTAAAACAGTTTCATACAAGTATAGTCACCTTTGCGCCTCATTTCAATCTCAATAAAGTCAGAACAATTCCTTTGTTCATATTAGCCCCTTCAATATTGTTTTCAACTACCTGTTATTCTCCGACCATTCCCAAGTCCATTTCCTTCGTTTCATATCATTACGATCTTCACCCTTGAGTACGATCGCCCTCTGGTCGATCGATAACTCAACGACCATGATTAGTATGAGATCCAATTTCCCGGATCATGACTTGAGGGTATACAGGCATGCTGTAACCGGCCCTTCTCGCCCTTGTGTTCAACAACATACTCCACCGACCTCAGACATAGGAAGCCCAGATGTCGAGATTGAAGGTGTGTCCTGTAAAGCAGCTTACGGTGCAAGCTCTCATCAACTGACGATTCCAACAGACAGCGATATCGACTCTCAAGATGCACCCAGTCTCGAAAGCGTACCTTGCCTCGTCACTCCACCTCCCAACCGTTCCTCGATGCGGCTACCGAGCTTTGAGGCCTTTGATCGTGGAGTTGAAGCTACCGCACGACCGAGCGGGCGCATAAGCGATCATTCTCGAGGCTTTATACTTCCAAGTCCTTCGGAGTTGATTGCCCATGGGGATCGAAGGCCTCCGCCTCCTACCCCTCGACTGCCATGGTCTTCGTGGAGTTGCCCAAGCGCCAACTCGTTCAACGAGTACAGTTATTCACAGCAGAGGGCAGTGACTGGCCTCGGTATTCTCCCTTTCAGTCTCAGTAACGCTCAACGCACCGTCTATGAGAGTCTTCCATATGGCGCCGCAGACAAGCAATTCACACCTCGTCTTGGTCCATCCGCTGCCAGTTCCTGGCATGATGTATCGACTGATGTGGACTCCAACTATCGGTTCAATCAGAAGTATACAATCGAACAGGGAGACTTCATCATTTACGCCAGACACGACAAGAAGCTGAGCTGGTCAGGTGTCGTAAGAGAGTTTGCTTGCCAGTTTGGCAATACTCCTCGACGCACAATCCAAGGCCTCCAAGCTTGGCACTATCGAATAAACAATCAGATACCAGTCTGGGATGAAGACGGATGGCTATGCTTTGATCACGAAGACGATGACAAACCTCGTCAAATCAGCATCAAAGCTCGCGAACGACACATGTATCTACATCCCGGAGAGTCATTGGGTATTGCCTCACGTTATCCCGAACGGGCTGTGAACTACTCGTGGGTTGACCCCATGACAAAGCTGGTGGCAAAGGATTGGGGTATGTAACCTTTACTTCTTGACAATCAAGGACGACATTAACCACGTCAGCAGCTGCCAAACGAACTCTACAATATGAGACACGACGGCGAAGACAGGGAAAGCGGCTGCGGCGATTGTTTGCCAAGCAGAATTCAGATTGAGCGCTCAATCGCAGGCTACAGAAAGTAAAGTTTCTTTGTTATGTACGATATGACTGAGTTTGGGTTTGCAACGATGTTTATGACATGGAGCATGGTCTCAGCCTGTCCCAAGTGTATAGTTATGGCTAATGGTTAACGGCTTATGGTATGAACGTGTTGGTTTGGATGGTGCTACGGCTCACTTGCGGATCTATGACTTACATAGAGCATTTACCACAGAATTGTCTATTGATTTTAATTTGCTCAGTTTATCGGGGAATATTAAAAATGACGCATGATTAATAAAATCTGTGAGTTTCTTGATAAGTTGCCCTAAATCAAGTGATCACTTGCCATCGGCTGCCAAGATTCATCCCAACGAGATGGAGAAATGGCTGATCGAATGAACCACAGATGGACAAGGTTATTGTCATTCTGAATCAAGCCACATGCAGATCGCAAGCCACACTGACACATATGCGAGCGACATGCGGTGGTCTTAGCAGCACTAAGCTCTAACTTGCTTAGCACGTAATATCTGCATGGACAACTCATCTTGAGACACGGCTCAGTGAGACACGGCTCCTTGAGACACGGCAGAGTCTTAATGCCCCTCTTAACGGCTTACTCATATTTGCAACGAAGATTAGGGTATAGCTTAAGCGGTACTTGTAGGGAGAATAAACTGGGAATGCCGACTGCGAGATACACGCTGTTTGAGCCACAAGTAACAGTGCTCTGCATCCCTGTTGTTCCAAAATATCCGACGGAATGCCCAGAGAGTATTGACCGAATGTTTCACCGATGCCATAGTCTTCAAAGCCCAAAATCTCAACATGAGTATTGCCGGCCAAGATGGCCGGTAGTAAGCTAGGTTCTCTCTGCCGGAATAAGCTCTCAGCCACAAATCTCAACTAACACTTCTGCAGGTAGTAAGCATAGAGGCATGACTAACGAAGCACCGTAGAATCTGTTGCGTTTGCAATAGTGGTGCAGCAAATTGATTAGCAAGTGAACTCATGGCTGGTGGGTTGAGCAGTAGTATTCCTCTAAAGACTAAATGTCGGTAACCTTGTCAACAACAGAGACCCATCCCTTAAGACAGACCCAGATGCTGGTGAATCTACTAGCTATGCAAATGTTTGACAAAACAAAGACCGAGGAAAGACATTCCAGCATGCAACAGTCATATACAGGGATGGATATGTGAAGCGGTGAGTGAAGGGCGATGTAGAACCATGATGGGATTTAAAATTACTGTCTCGATCCATCACAGGCTCCTGAGACTTGTCATGATCTCAGGTATATAAGAGTCTCGTTGTTCTCGCAAATATCTATTCATCTCATCATCACAATCACAATCATCCACTACCACTCCAACACTTCAACCAACACTTCCAACACTACATCCTTCAAAATGTATGCCTACACTGTCATCGCTTTCCTGGCCGCTTCCGCCGCCGCCGCCGCTGGCGGTCCCTCTATCTCCGGCCTTACCGTTCAGCAGGCTGCCAACTCTTGCGCCAACGGCCAGAGCGTTTACTGCTGTAACAAGACTACCAACAAGCCTGCTGGTAACTCCGTTGGCGACGGTGCCGGCATCGCCAATGGTCTGAACCTCTTCAGCCAGTGCTCCAAGCTCGACGTCAATGTCCTCGCCATTGCCAACAACCTCCTCAACAAGGAGTGCCAGGCCAATGCTGCTTGCTGCCAGGACAGCCCCGGAACCGTAAGCAACCCGTCCAAACAGTACATGATACAAGCTGACAATCCACAGGCCGCTGGTGGTCTCATAAACGCTGCTCTTCCTTGCGTTGCTATTAGCAACCTCGTCTAAGGTTGAGCTTTCAGCAGTCCCTTCGGGTATTCAATGGGACGTCTGGGGGCAGGAGAAGGCTTGGATTCGCAGCCTTTGAGGATATGCCTGAGAGGTCTTGGCAATGCGATCTGATCGCATGATACTTGTTGGAACTAGAGGTCCTGTACGATTTTATCTTCAGGTGTTGCTTCGATTCACTAGTGTGCGACTTTTAATACAAGATTTATCTTCCTATATACATTTCCTGACTTACAACCTGACTCACACAAGTTGTACATGGCTGAGCTTACACTGGTCGTATCTGGTCCCTACATCTCCTACGATACTACGGTAAAGTCATACCATATGTCTTCTGTTACAAGTTGAAGACTTGAAGTCTCTTGCGCCATAAAAGTCAGAACAACGCACCACTTGTAGGTATTGCCAACACAGTTACAGTTTTTGTTCAACAGCTGCCATTAGAGGACCATGCTCTAAATTCTGACATGATGGTGGCCTCGCTTGTATATCTGACTTTACTGTCTGATCCTTTCACCGCAATACTGGCAAGCTCCAACGTCGGCCACAAACCACTCCAAACTTCGATATGTAAGAGCTAGTTCATCAATTGATGGCGACACAAGGTTCTCCCCCCGGAATAAGCCCTCAGCCACAAGTCTAAACTGAGTACGTCTTCAGCCAAGACGCAGAGGTCAAATTAAGGAGAGCAATTCTTAACACACGAGTCCCGACGAAGTGTTTAAGCAAAGCCAACTATCACGATCCAACGACCTAAGAAGAAAGAGAGGAAAATGAGTCAAAGATGGATCGTATTCAAGTATCTAAGCATATCTGGCATCCAATTAAACTCCATTACTAAGCACAACCTTTTCAACCAGAATAACCTGTCCCGTGTCGCCGACGGTAAGTAGCCCAGGAGTTGTGCATCCGGCGTCTTTGGCCGGGGGTAAACTCTTCATAGCAGATGCTGCGACATACAGTCAGTGGTGAACCAGTAACGTTTTGCAAATTACTTACTCATACGAGTAATCCATGTAATTATGAACTGGATCGTAACCAGGGATATCGGGACAAGTGTCCTTTCGCGTAGGACAACCACTTGTTGGCTCTCCCTGTGCCGGGGTATCAGCGACTGAATCCCCTGGGGCATCGCATCCATTCTCAAACGTGTGAAAAAGACTGAACCAATGCCCGACTTCATGGATCGCAGTGCCGCCCAAGTTATACGGTGCAGCATCGCCGCCGGGAACACTCTGCGCCTCGATCACACAGCCGTCACGGATGAATACATCGGATCCAGTGGTGGTGTTTGACGGAAAGGTACAGTAACCAAGAGCGGATGTGCTACCAAGCCTCGCAGTATCGACGAAGTAAAGATTGAGAGTGCTGTAGTCGCCCTGACGAAGCTCTCTTCTCATTCCGATCTCATCGCCGCCGCCAGCCCATTTTGAGTTGGTAGTGTAGGTTGTGTTTTTCAGATCAAATGAGATATTGTGAGGTGCGAATGCTGCGTTTAAAACTTTGAACTGGGCAGCTACTTGACGTTGCGAAATGGCTTCCGATGCGTTTGAGGTCACAACGTGGATGTAGGTATCGACACAGATATGTTCCGAGGTCTCAATCTTGGTAATCTTCTCAATCTCCTCAAGTGCCTTCACGCTGGCTCTTTGTTCAGGAGTAGGATCGTTGATGGCGCAGCGGGAATATTGGTTTGAGTACTGGGCATACGCTACCGCGTTGCTGAAAAGGAGCAGAATTAAGGCACTGAGAAACATGTTTGAATGTAGAGTGAGAGCTGCAAAGGGTTGAATAGAGACTACAGGGAAACAGTGGGCAGAAGTCAGCGTTCAGGGGCATCTTCTTATATCCCATTGTCGTTGTTACATATGAACTTCCGAGGGTGACTTCAGCACCGTAGGAATTCATTTCTCACTACGCTTCTTGACACTTATTGTTCCCAGATCAATATCCCTCTTTCAGCTGTTGCGTGATATCAAGAATGCCATGGAAATATTGGCAATTACGATTAATGAATAGCCCTTTATCGGCTGACACGTCCACTGTCTCACTGTGAGTGCCCTTTGGGTGAACACGGCACGGTAGATGGATATTGGATCCAGAAACAGGATGGGATTTGACATATTCGATAGTGGCTCGAAGGGAGAGCGGCATAGGACGGAATAGCTTGAAGAATGGGAGTATCACAGATGATCGACAGGGCGCCCAGAAAAGTGTCTCGAAGCCTAGCGTCAATATCACGCCTCATTGTCTGAGGGAACCAAATTGTACATTGAATGATACTTCCTAGCTCATATCGTGTAATGACACATCGCGGTTCCACACAGGAAGGTGAGGCATGGAAGAGAAGAAGCTAGGGAAGTAGAGGATACCAAAGACCTACAGTTATCTTGTTTGTGTCAATGACATCATATCACGATGGCATGTATCGCTCATAAGTAAAATGAGTGCGATGTTGAATTACACAGATTAAGCTATCTATATCCACCAACGCAAATATCTAAGCTCCCCTACACCATCAACCACCTCCTATAAATAGCACTAGGCTATCGGTGCTGATTTGAGCTCTCAGCCACAAGTCTCAATTGAAAATAACACATCTCTCTGAATAGTCCGACTTCAAAGGCAACAAGGTTACCTAGCTGGTCATGGAATGACTTCATGGTCCTCCAAGATGGGTTAGCACGCATGAAGAGACAAGTTGGTGGGAAAAGCTCACCATGAGACTTTGTACATCGGTCAAAGAGACTGAAAAGAGCTTAAACACCGCCAGGAACTGCGGGAGCAGCGGGGGCACCAGCAGCTGGCGCAGAGGGAGCGACAGCAGGACTAGTAGGAACAGCAGCAACGCTTGAGACCTCAGTAGGAACGCCGTTGACAGTAGTAGGGACACCAACAACATCAGTGGCGCAACCAATGGCTTCCGTGGTGGTTGTGGCAGGAGATATGAGAGCGCTGAGAGAAGAGATGATAGCCTCAAGATCTCCAGGAGCCTGGCGCTTGTCAAAAGGAAGGCCGCCATCCAAGGCATCAGAGGTGGTAGTGACAGCAGTGACCTCAGTGGGAGTACCAGAGACAGAAGTCGAGAAAGTCAGGATATCCGTCATGGACTGAGTAGGGACGTCGGGAAACTGGCCGAGGAGAGAGCTGAGCGAGTCGAAGAAAGCTTCAAGACCAGCTGGGTCGAACTGACGTTTCTCAAGAGCGGCAGCGTTGGAGCTATCATGGGGAGCCGCAAAGACAACAGAAAGGAGGGCAAGACCGATAACAGACTTCATTTTGAATAAAGAAGTTGAACTTGGTGATAGTGAGATAAGTTTAGTTGTTGATACGGTGAGTGGTGCAAGTGTTTGAATGATGCGAATTGTTGTAGTGCTGAGATGGAAGGAAGCCCCATGAGATATTATATATTGAATTCTGAAGGCTATTCTAACAGACATTGACGTTATCAAGAAATGTCTAGATGACGCAACTTTCTTGGTATGTCGGTGGCTGTAGCCACGAGAAAGAATGCCTGGATGTTCTACGTAATTGTCATCGAAATCAATCGCGATCGATGGTTTCCAGATACGATCTGATCGATGCAGTAGGTCATGAGAGACTAAATATATGAACTTAGACTGGGCGGTTTGGCAAACAGTACTGATGTTCTAGATGTGGAACGCGGAATCAACCGTGGCATATCTCAAAGTGGTAGGTTTGCACTGGGCTTCGACGGATACGCACTGACTTCTTTCAAAGTCTCTTAGCATGTAACACTAGAGACACAAGATATTAGGACCGATTAGTAAGACAATTCCTTCTTGACCATTGAGACGTAGAAGTGTTGACGAAACCAAGAATTCCTGTCATCGAAGTTCCGATCAGATATATGCGTTGAGACATGGCCCGAACACGAAACGTCTCGCAATGACGAAATTGCCTATGATTGAATATTGTGGCACGTGAGATAATCGTAGCTAATAGTTCATCCTCATGCTGAGCCTTCACCCCATTACAGCATCCTGCGGTTTCGTTCGCTCATCTATGCAGTAATCGCTAGTGAAATTCTGCACGTCCACGTGATTTTCACCCTTGATTTTATTCCGAGCAATGAATAGACGATAATATTGCCAATATGCAGGCAGTTCGGAACGCTATGCCGCTTGATAAGAATTTCTCAATAAATCGTCGCCCCTTTTGTTCTCTATCGTGCCCTTCCTGTTATTCAGCATCACTTCATCCCTCAACATGAAGTTTATGCCGATAAATACGTTGCTAGATCCGTCGTTGCCTACGTCTAGTTTCTAGCTAACTGCACTTCATCTCGTCTTTTACTGCGCAAAAAAGGACCATGCGCTCTATTATCGTCACGGCTATCTTCGCCGGCTATGCCGCAGCAAGTTCACTTTCAAAACAACCCAAGCCCATCAGAAGGACCTCAACCTTCCAGATAGTGTACAACGGGACAGAAAAGTTGAAAGCCGCCAATAATACCTTGTACATAGGGTCGCCCAAACAAGACGCTTGCTGTAATCAGTTCAATGCTGAGGATGCGGCTACCTTCTATCTACAAGACGAAGAGCTCTTCCTCTATTCACCTGGAAATCCCAAGCAACAGGTGACTGTGAACAGTACAAAAGCCGCTACAGAATGTGAGAAAACTTCCATGGGACGCTACACTCGGCTCACAATATTTCCTCTAGGTCAAAATTCCGTCGGTTACTCCATTGGTTCAAGGGAAAAGCTGGACAAGGCACTGAGAGAAGGTTGGCGGATAGATGATGATGACAATATTACCTTCGATGGCCTCAACCTGATGGCGTGTAGCAGCTCTGGGGTTGGGCGGGACATTATTGTGCAGAAAAGTGATTGCCCGCTCAAGGGCTGCAGGGCGTGTCGGAGGGTCACTGCAAAGGCGACGTACACAAGCCATCCCACAAGTTGCTTATATAGTGGAGAGGGACAGGTTGTTTCACACTTTTGTTTGTAGCGAGCTAGTCAGGATGTTTATGAGATATGCAGCTGTATGATCACGGACCTTACTGCTAAACTTGACCGCGATCTGAGATGTTTTGAACTCATATCTGTGATAGACTTTGGAGAGTTATGCATATTTCAGTGATAATCCTCGATATTTAAGAATAATATTAACTGCTTCAGCGCGCAATTCTTCTTAGATTAAACTCAGACAAGCAAAGGTGGGAACAACTCCAGTCATATCAACCCTGCGTTGCAGCTACAAGTTAGCGACCAGTGGCTCTTGCAAACCGTGTACCGTGTAGTACATAAGAAGACTCCCTTTTCCTTCTTGGCCTAAAAGAGGAACTGAAGTGAAGGGGTTGATTGTCAGAGGTTGACTGCTGAGGTCGCGGGAGCCGAAACAAAATTCAGGGAGAGCGCGGAGATTTAAATGTGAGTGAAACACAGCCTTGTGATGCAGCGCAACCAGAGACCACTATCGACATGTGCCGCGATTACCCCTTATTTGACTCGGATCTTTATTGTTAGTCTATCCGTATGGTGGCTGCAAAGAGGGACTATTGATTTGTGCCGTGTTTAGCGCATTTTTGACTCAGAAGACCGTTGCAAGTCTACCTACCAAAACTCTCCCTTGATATTGCCATATACGGCAACCAAGATTATTGTGAGAGTCCAAGAGAGCAGAAATCACTATAAAGATCTCGATATGCCGACGCTCTGGAATGAGTAACAATCCAACCCTCATTCGATCTACACTCCTTTAGCCACATTCATTTAGTCCCCCCTTACCACGAGACTCCTAACATCTCACAACATGAAGTTCTCTACACCAGCCCTTCTTCTTGCTTCCATTCCAATCGCCTTTGCTAGCCCTGGCAGCTATGGATATGGATACGGATGTGACTGTGAGAAGGTTGCTACTGTAACCGCTACATCAACATGTACGGTGACGAAGTCATTTCACGACCCTCCGGCCACCAAGACCGTCAAAGTCACTGTACCCATCTACAAAGCCCCAGCCACCAAGACTGTCACCAGGGTTATTACCTCAGTCGCGGATCCTCCCGCCGCCAAGACTGTCAAAGTCACGGCTACCATCTACAGCCCCCCAGTCACTAAGACTGTTACCAAAGTTGCCACCGTCACAGAGCCCATGTACAAGGCCCCAATCACCAAGACTGTCACTAAAGCTATCACCACATATGGTTGGAAGCCTACTGTCACCAAGTACCACAACGAGCCAGCATACACCATGTACAAGACTCAGACTGTCACGGAATCTATCACCAAGCCCTGCGCTGATTACGGAAAGCCTCAGTACAACATTGGCGTTTATGACAACTCAGGATATGGCAACTCTGGAAGCGGAGACTACTATGCCTGAGAGACGCGGAGTCTTGAATATTAGTGTTTTGTTGTTTCGTTTTAATATTTTCAACTCTCCGTATGGGGACAGGCAATTTGGCGGTTTGGAGCTAGTTATATCAGATTTATGTTCAGGGCAACGCTTTTACGCCTTGTTAGAGTACAGGAACCTGTTTAATCATAATATTACTCTTTGTTGTTTAATCGCAGTTCTCAGCTCGTGATAATTTGCCATTATAAGATCGCCGGTTCAGTTACGAAGTAGAAGCCGCTTGCTGGCAGTGCTATCCAGGGAGAGGCGATAGCCATTGATCAAACCAATTACCCTTATGTTATTAAATGGTCATGTTAGATAGGCTGACGGTCGCAAGCGGGGAAAAGGTTGCTTGCAAAGTGCTTCCCTGCAGCCTTGAGTAACACAGATGCTACCAGGATAGAAACGAGTGGGAATTGTGCTTCCTTGTCAACATTCATAAAAAGATCTTCTAACCGATAGATTATTTTGAGCTCGGGCTTGTACCTTAACTTCTTAAGTGCTTATGACTATTTTCAACGTTCGTCATGGCTAGCCCATTTTTGATACCATAACGCGACAGCATGTTTGATAAGCCAATACTCGGTGAAAGCATCAACTCTGTTGGACTTGAAACTTTTGTTGTGTCTCCCTCAAGCGGAATCCATTCGGATTATGTCTATGATGCTTTGTAATTCCTGATAACATTTTATGAAATACCCTATCCACGTCAGCCACAAGCCGGAGTAATAACCATCTGTATACCTGAAAGCTGGTGGAAGCCAGTCATGCGAAAAGGAAATAGTCGAGAGTATTTAAAGCACGAATCACTAACTTGATGAAGAAACTCTTTGTTCCAGATATGGGTATATCCACAGCATAGGATTTCTTTCTGTCAGCAAGTTTGACAGCGAAATGAGGATATTTATTTCAGGTATAGAGTGTTAGGTTCTAGATGGAGGTGAATACTAAGCCTGGTGTGTAGGAGGAAAGAAAGCTCGCAACGCTTATCGTAAGTTATAAAAAGACTGGGGTATTGGTTTATAAGTTTAGGATAGGTTTAGGATACCCTTTACTGAGTTTACTCTGAAACATTATATTAAGGTCTGATATTCTTCACAACTCTATATAGTTATATGTGATTCAAGTTTAGCAAGCTGCAGTAATGGATACCGGACTCGCAGCTAAATTTCCTTTACATTTGAGATACTGTGAGCTTTAGTCGCCCACGCTTTAACCCAGATTATCCAGGCCTCACAAAAAGACACAGAAACCATGCAATACATGTGTAAAAATGGAATTACCAAACATGCGTGACTTCTGATAAGTCATCCACTACACACTCTAACTTAGACTACCCTTGCACCGCTTATGCATTCAAACAAGTCATCTCCCCAGCTTGACGTTCCATGAATGAAGAAACTATCTACTGCGGTAAGGTTCGGGTTCAAAAAGAGGCTTCAGCCTTCAGGGCACAGCACAAAGGTAAAGGACGCCCTCACTATTTCGTAGAATCGTACTTTTATCTGAAAGCTAGACATCTTAATGACTCACTTTGAAGGTGTATAAATAAGTGGCTGCCTGCTGCTCATCCTCGCACATTATCCAGCTCAAAGGACACCAAACAGAATACGTGAGCACCTTTATTGGTCAAACAGTCAATACGGGCCACAAACAAGAAATTAAAACGGCACTTGGGCAAACATGACGGAGACACGCGTTCGGCACCTGTTGACAGTGATTCAGCTTGGTTGTTGTCATTGCATCTTGGCCCATGGCTGACAGTGATTCACTGCCCATCAGCTGACAAAAACACTTGATACGCCTGTTCTCTGTCTTTCGACTCATCCCACCAACCTGAATTCTGAGTCTCTACATCATCAATCTAAAGCCTAGGTTCTGTGTGGTGATTACAAGTTCTCAGCCTACCGACCTCCCATCGTGAGGCGCCTCAGCCAGTCCACCAAGACCTTCAGCACAGGACAAGACCTACCAGAAGAAATACAAACTACAGACGCAAACGCCCACTTCAACCGTCTTTTGGATACACCCGGGCAGCTGCAGATTTCCCACAAAGCACGCTTCCTCCGCTCTGCCAGCCTTCACCATGACGACCTTTGATGCTGAAACATTCACTTTCCTCTCCTCCATCAAGGAGCCCGTCCTCGAAGACGGAGCAACGCGCACAAGGCTCCTCGACATGATGAACAATCTCACATCTCCCCACCCTTGCGAGATCATGCAGTGGCTGCAGATGCCAGAGTTCCGCGCCTTTGCCTCTGACAACCTTCTGGTTCATTGTGTCCAAACCTGGGTTGGCTACAGAACTGAAACCCACTTGTTGTGGATCTTTCTGCTCCTAGGCAAGTTTATCGCGAGGATGCTTGGGCGAGAGGGGTTTGAGTGCACAGTCGGCGGTACACGATACCAGTGCCCTAGACCCGAAGAGGCGAAGATGGAGCTGGAGTACAGGTATAATGAATGGGCATACGAGATGGAGGAGACGGCGATTGATGTGCCTTTTACGTTTGGAGTTTCGTTGATCTAAGGCGATGTTGCAGTCTTGCTCTATTTGGAGTTGATAGTCCCCACAGCTGNNCACGCGCCTCACACACGAGCTTAGCTTGCATCCCGTACCTTGCTTCTACGGTATCGCTCCTAGCTTTACATCAATCTCTGAAGCTTCTAGGATAGCTTATCAATAAAGCCTGAGGGAAGGAATGATAACATCCTTGCACTTGTTGGATCATAAGCTCCGTCAAGCAACGTGATAAGACTTGAACAATGTTCACGGCCAAGGATTATCTTACCGCCACTTTCAGTCAGACAAATCCTTTCCCAATAGCCAATACATATTATTCATCATCATAAAACTATCATCGTGAGGATGTTTCTTCTCCTTATGTTCCCAAAATGGTGAAATGCAGCGACGAGGCATAATGGTCCATCCGCCCACAGTCCAAATCTAGACCCCAATCCGTCGGCAGCCGAGCAATCCCAACACAGCCCTCGCGACACGTCCTCTTCAATTCTCAGCCTCATCATTCGACCAATGACACAAGCTCGTCCCTGCGACAAAAGTCGGCAAGTCCAGCGCCATCCCTGCACCGCCTCCAACCAACCAGATCGTCCGCCTTCGAAGGCATCAGCTTAGTGCAACGCCATATCCGCCAGGGCTTTTTCCGATCGGTACAACGCTAATTCCCATTTAGTACTGTATGCAGCGCTGTAGCACAGCCACAGACCTTCTGATCTACCGACCGCACTAAATAATTGGCTGTTTGGCCTTCAGCTGCCAGGCACAGACATCGCATGGAAAAGCTGTTTTAGCTGATGATCTACTTACATGAGATCCTCCGACCCAGCGCCCCGGTTCTAAGGGGTCTTGGCACGAATGTGTAAGAGAAATCGACGCAGGGGTACCGCGAAATTCTTCCCTCTAAGGAAAATATTATCGAAGATCGTTTTTATGATGAGGAGAGGTATCAGCCTTATAAGATCTCGGTTGACCAATCGCCATTCATATGTAGACTGTAACAGGAAGAGCGGTCCATTTGTACTGAAACGAGTTGATTCTGTCGGAGGCAGCGATATTTCAATATTGGATAACGCAGAGTTTGCTTTGGTTGATTGGGGGTCAAGAGGAAGGAGACTCTCCTTATGCCAAATAGTCGTTTGACATGAATCGGTTTGGTATATAAACGTACTCCTTCAGTTTCGAAAGTAAATTAAAGAAACTCAGCTTTGTGGTATCAAGCTTCCTTCACAGGAACTCATCGTGAAAAGCCCAGACTCAACACGCCGTTCACTTTTTTATAACCTTCATTATGATATTTCCAGCATTTGTTGCAAACTTGGAGGACATATACACCAACAGTTCTTCAAGTTCTGGGGGCTCCTACCAGATCTCAGACCAAGTCGTTGACATAGGCTTCCCTCAAATCATGCAACTGACCTGGACACCATCACCCTCTACAATGGCTCTTTTCATCTGTGAACCGAGTTCCAATACTCTCTATGCAGTCTGTATGCCTCGTGGCTGGCAAGGGCCGACATATCTCTTCCCAGGGTCCAGCGTTGCTGGAGACCCGATATCGTCTGGAATCAAATCCAGCGACGGATTCATCTTTCAACTCCCCAGAATACCTAGTTACAACACTCCCTCTGACCAAGTCACTATGACCTACCATCGTTCACGGTCTAATCCTCGGTACAGTTTCTCTATGAGGGTTGAACACGGTGGAAGTCGTAGAACAGAGTCCTTCGAATGGCGCGTGTCGTCAGAAGCTCAGAGAAGCGCTTACAGCATGGTATGGGAGCTTGTATCGCTAGGTCGTACAAGCAAGTCGAGCTCAACCCGCTCGCGAAGTGCTGAAGTTGTTGCCATGATGCACGAAGACAATACTGCATCAGGATCAGTGTCTGCCCAAAGGTCGGGAGGTTTTCAATTTCTGGGCAGGGCAGCCACGGGTTCAATGGGATTTCATTGGACTGTCACAGCTTTAATGACTAGTGTAGCAATTCTGCAGGATACCAGCCGAGACTAGCACGAATAAGCTAGTGAAGTTGTGGTATGGCTATTACAAGCAGATATTTAAGGCAGGGCATCGTGGATACAGGCAGACTTAGCAGGCTAAATCAGCCCCATCTCTACTCTTCATGTTAGATACAGTATTGTGACAAGTTAAGAATACATTTACTCTACGTTTTCCTTGATACATTTACATTGTTTCATGCCTCAGAGTCGGAGTCTTATGTTTCCGTGCCTCCTTGGGATTGCCAAAGAGGATGTGCGCTACTCCCTCCTCCACGAGTCCTTCGGCTCATACACACGAGCAGTGCAATAGCCCAAAGCTACGTTAAGCCTATAACTCGCGTTTCTAAGCTTGCTTAGGCGAGATTTCCCTCCGTGGGATACTGAAGCAGCAGTATGTTGATGTTGAAGACACCAAAAACCTTGAGAACAGCTAGAAAATAGCTAAAGAAGACTTTGGCAACTTCAATAT